AGCCAGCCAGATATGGTACTAAGAAGGGGCTGGCATGGAAGGAAAGGGCAAGAGAGGGTTTTCGGAAGGGTAAAAAAGAAACACAATATTTGTGTGTATGGACATATCCCAGAGAGCTTCATTAATGTAACAACTGGTATGCATTAATAATTATTCATTTTAAAAAGTATTTTGGCCCCAGGATTCATTCTTCCTTATACTTGATCTTGACAGCAAACAGCTATTATCTCTCACCTACTCAGAAGACTTAGGATTCAAGTTTTCCTCTTTTATCTCAGGGGGAAGGAGGGACTCAGTAAAACTGCTCCTGACGGCAGCGTTTGCAGCTCCCGTGACCCTGAGTGGGGCACCTCAGCAGCTGTCTTGGGCCCTCAGATCAGCCCTGCATTGCACCGTTCTCAGGAAACCACGTTCGAGAGTTCATTGAAATTTTAATTTAGAAGAATAATTAATTCATTCCTTTCTCCTTCAGCGTATTTCATTGAGAACCACTGTGGTAGGGTTCCCAGTCTGCCTGTCCACCCTCTGCTGGAGGACGAGCCCCCCGGGCCTCTGTTTTACTGCAGCCTTTCTCAGCCCTGGCTCCCGCTGCAGGGCGCCCTGTGCAACAGGACTGGGCGGGCGTTCAGCCCCAGGACAGCGGGCCTGGCCACGGCGCCTGTGCGCACGGACCACCCGATCTGCTCCCAGTGAGTGGCCAGTCCACAGAAAGCTTTGTACGGCAACCTTTTTTGAGGGGTGGTGGTGGGGGGGTTATAGGTTTTGTGTCTTACACGCCAAGAGAAGACATAAATGCAGGGGGAAAGGAAAGAAACGGAAATATACTTCCGACCTACTGTTGAATGTCTTTATTGAGTGTTTCACCAAATACACATAGAGTGGTGGATAGTTTCTACGCTCGTAATCTCTTCTTTCCGCAGTCAGAGTGGTGCAGGACTGTATTTGAGCCTCCCGTATTATAGTTATGACCCAAGACTACCTTCTTTCAGTATAGATGCTGCCTGGAACAGAAGCACTTCAAGCCAGCATCCCCTTCCCCACTTGCCGCCCAGGAAGATGGCAGAAGGTCAGCTGGCTGCCCCTGCACCGGCCCCTGGAGGCGAATGCTGCGCAGCACCGTCCCAGGCGCATGGCTGAAGAAAACCACATTCAGCAGATTAAGGTTGTTTGGCAGCCAGGATTCAAACCCAGTTTGGGAAAATTCAGCTACTGAGATTTCTCTGTAACAGGAAAAAAAAAAAAAAAAAATTCCCCCTTAAAGCGTTAGAAAATAAATCAAGTGGAGAAGAAAGATATCCAGAGGAGGGAGGTGACTGAGCAGGCTTCTGCCCCGTCCCAGAAGTGCATGGTTACTGTCACCTCTGATGTGGTCGCCATTCTCAATCCCTCCCCATTCTCTTAATTTCTTCAAACTGACAGAGATGCAGAGATTTTGCATTTCTAAAAACCCTAAATATTTCTGACTCTGTGTATCATTTCTACCCAATTTCTTCTGCTGCCCATTGTAGAAGTTTCTTTACCCTTATGGGGGCTGTTTAAATTGCATCAGTTTGACACTACTAAAATATGATAAAAATAAATTTATAGGGTTTTTCTCAGTAAAGTATAGATGATTTTGTGTTCTTATGCCTTCTCACTTAACACATTTTCTTCTAACATGTCTTTGATGTATAAATTTAGAATTTTACTTTTCAGATAGGATTTACTACAAAAATTTATTCAGCAAGAAATAAAAGAATACATGGAGACATCTGAGAGTTTGTGGTATAATATAGGACATTTTCCTTTCCCTATTTTTGAACTTAAAATCTTCAGAACGTAAGCCAATTTTCTTTTAACTAATGCAGTCCACACTTGGAATCCTTAGTTATACTCTAAATTTTTTCCTTTATTCATTGCAATTACTATGTAATACACATTTATGTTAAGGTTAGAAAACAGGAAGCAAAATGGTAAGACATTTCCCCTGTAATGGTGGGACATACCTGTAATCCTAGCACTCAGGAGGCTGAGGCAGAGCAATCACTGAGAGTTTGAGACTATCCCAGGCTACAAAGTGAGCTCAAGGCCAGCCTGAACTGCATAGTGAGACCCTGTCTCAACAAAAGATAGATAGATAGATAGATAGATAGATAGATAGATAGATAGACAGACAGATAGATAGAATCTCTAAAATACTGATCCAAACACAAATGTAACCAAACCAAAACAAAGTAAAGCAAAAATAACAATACTTAATGCTAAAACTATTTCTTCAAATTTGTCTAAAGAAAATCACATCTTTGTTTTGCTCACTACAAAACCCTTAGCTCTGTGGTCCTACTAAGATTAACCAAGAAGAAATAATTGCTGTGAGCATTTGTTGACATGTCAGGTTAACAAAGCTCAAGAGTTTCAGCTTCTGCCCCTGGAATGGAGGGCTACTCCCTGGCTGATAGCTGACAAAGACTACGTCCCTGCAGTTGAAGATGCTCCTTCAGTTACAGCTAACAGGCTGGACACAAAGGGTTGCTGTGGTTGCCATGGAAAGCATTTTGTAGCTTCCACCACACAATAAATGTGTTTTCACAAATTCTGACAGTGGCCTGAAGATTTTATTTGTAGTTTCTCTAAAGGCGCTGCATGCACCCTGGTTCCCAGCTGCTGAATTATCTCTACATTGGGGAGGTAACTCATACACAAAGATGAGTATTGAGGCAAGTTGAAGGCTATAACTAGGTTATACTCACCAAGATTGGGGCTGAAGTCTCAATGAATAGGAATTACCAACTTTCTCACACATCTTGCAGGCTATGTTTAACAACATTTGATGGAAATTTAAATTATAGAAAAAAATTAAATTTAAATAACCCATCATTTCACCTTAGATTTTTACACCATTCAGATTTTTGTCATAGTTCTTCAAACCCAGGGTCAGAGGATTTTTGTCTTGGTTTATGTCCCCAAACCCCTCTTACTATCTCCTGTCCTATTTTACTTTTAGGGGAAGGGTGGAATAAGAAGATGCTAGCGACAGGACGTATGAGAACTTGTACTGTAACATCATGTAACTCGGGAGTGTCCCAAATTTTCTGATCAAGGAGATTATGGGGCCAAAGAAGAAAGTGATCAATGATGTAGAGTGTGCCTAAGGACAGTCACATGGAGAGAAAACATTCTCTCAGGCTTTCACAGAGAGCACATTGGCCAAGCAATGGCCGTGACTCATCCACATGGCTGCGCTGACAAAGGTTCTACAATCTAAGCTGCAGGATCTGAGGATAAATCTTGAGGGGATTTCACTGACCTTCTCAGACCAAAAAGCTACAACTCTTGATGCATAGGTCCTGCTTTACCTTGGTCTTAACCATCCAGTAGGAAAGTATGAAAATGAAATACAGGAAGTAAAGCCATGT